GAGTCCAGCCATGGCTGAGGTAGCCGGCGTGCGTCAGATCCAAGCCGCGGCGGGAGGGAGAAAACCGGATAAGCCATTCCTATTGGAACGGATTAACCGGTTTCCAATGCATTCCTATGGGAAATGGTGCTTCACATAACGATGTTTTCACATAACGATTTTTTTTGAACCAATTAACATCGTTATGTGAGGCACCACTGTATAACAATTAAGTCACAATATGGATTAAAGCATCTGCAGTTAACTATATGGAAAATTATATAGTGCATTGCAAATTAAAGAAAGGTTATCCATTCATAATTAAGATGAATATTCAAATACATTTCTAGGAACCTCCTAAGACAACAGTCCACAAAAATTGCAGTGTTATTCCTCACTGCTACACCGACAATGTAGAAATGATATTGTGCTGACAAAGTAAATCAACATTCTGTAAGTCATTTCTAGAAATGTGGGCAGCCCAAAGGAAAAAAATTGTAACTTTCAACCAGAGCTTTAAGCACCAAATCTGCCACAGGGGTAGCAATCAGTCTGCTCCTTCCTTGTGCCAAATTGGGAAAGTTTTGGCAAAATGTTTTGAGTTGTGCTTTTTTATAAATACAACTGTATTAAGCATGCTGAAACAAGTGATGCTCAATATCCTCAGATGTAAAATTGCTCATACAAATTGAAAAGACCAATCTTAATTTTCTTGAAAGAGAATGGTTGGTCCCATCCACTTTTTTTTTAACTTTGGAAATAATTTAGGCTGCAAGGCATGAAACAGTGACTCCTGAAAAAAGCCTTTCAAAAGGGAAAACAATCAGTTTGTTTTAGAGTAGACTGAGCATGCATGGAACAGATTTACTACCAAGAACATTACAAAGCAGATACACTGTTGCAGTTTCATGGCCCAGGGAGGGATGTGTTTGGGCAATGAAAACTCACAGAAACAGTGAAAAGACAGTTTTTTTCAAAGAGTTTTTAAAAAGGCCACAAGCTTGCTTTAAAGAAAGTAATGGAGTGACAGTTCTCCAGAAAGGAGTACGTTTTGTAAGGTAATTCAAAGCATTTCTGCATTACAAAAACACAGACCCCTTCACATGTGCTGTCTTTTCAAATTAAACTGCGCATAACACTGTATATATCCGTGTCACTTTTCACAAAGGCAATACAGCTTCATTCACACAACATAGCTACAGTCAGAGACATGTGTTCACCATTAAAGGGGAGGGGGAAATGAAAATAAAGTGAAGCCTTACCTCTTCTGTATACGCCTTTCCAATTCCATCTGTAGCTCCCGTGATAACTACAAAATGTGAGGGGAAAAACAATAGAGCTGTTAGTGCATATTAGGGCTTCAATATCATGGTGTTTCCCCCCGGCCCTCTGGGAGTGTTATCACCTTTCTTGGAAAAGTTAAATTACAAAACAGAAGTCTTCTACTGAACAGAATTCAATTTAACACATTGAAATCATACTTAATAGGGAAAAATCTCAAAGATACACTAAATTAACTTAGGGAATCTTTTAGCTTTCCTATAACCAAATATAGCTAGCTTCAAATAGGAAGCACATGGTGTCATATCTAATTTAAACACATAGTCATTCCCCTTCCAAGAGTAGTAACATCACCTTCTGAGTCTATTCTCCAATTCCATTATTACAGTAATTTAGAATTCCTTCACCTGAAAAATAATACCCATTCACCAGTGTAGTGTAAAAAAGTGTCAGTTTAGGACTCTGCGTACCTCGATTCAAATCCCATCCATCAGCCATGAAAACTCACTGCAGTCCATCAGTATCTCACACATCTTAAAAATCTTATTTTTATTTTTTATCATGTGCCTTATTAAGATCACCCACCAAAAAACAGAAGCAGCTTGATGGCAAAAAAATACATACACACTTCGAATTAGTATTTAGGGCAGTCGCGAATGAGTTTATATTCTTCAACTAGCAAGTTTTAAGGAAACAGTAAATAGCACTGTGATATGATTATATAATAGTACTTAGATTCAATTTCAAGATACTATTCAGAGAGGAAGCTTCCTGGATAGCTTTACATCTCAGGTCAACTGTCCAAAAATACTGTTTAATAGTGGGAGAAGCTGCCTGCATATTTCTTTGAATCTGTGCCCTGTTCTGTTTCCTTGCACAGTGAAAGAAGTACTGTAGATAGAAAACCAAAATGAGATCTCATTTTGAGATTTATGAGTTTCCAAATTTTTCATTATGCTAAAAGCTCCATACAGATCTGAAGTAATCTGTAAACTATATTGTGATACCTCATAATTTGGGTATCTAGACCTGCCTATGGTAAGCAGCAGAAAATGGAAAAGAAGAAGGTTATGGTAGTTGGGGTTTATTTATTATCTATTTATTTAAAATATTTATATTCCCCCTTTCACCTAAAAAGGACCCTGTTGTGTTGTTGTTACATACAGTCAAGTTGGGACAGATTTATAGGGACCTTAATAGGGCAGTCAAGGCAAATGAGATATTTAAGGAGTGGTTTTACCAGTTCCACTCCCCCAGTGAGTTTCCATGGCTGAGCGATGATTTGAATCCTGATCTCCAGAGTACTACTCCATCACTCTATTAACTCTGGGCACCTACATTAATAAAAAAGAAATAATATTAAAAATAAAAAACAATACACTATTAAAATATGTGAAAAGAATTAATGTAATATTAAAACTGGTAGGTAAAAACAATACAAAACAAGACTACAACACATTAAAAATAACAACAGCACAAAAGTCCAGTTTTGAAAAATTCTGTTAGACAGCCAGACACTAAGAAAAAGCCTGCCTGCCTGCCTGTAAGAAAGTCCTTCTCCGGCGGGGGGGCGCTGGTGGTGAAGGCGGGAAAAAGACAAGGAGGCTCATCTAGATTTTCATTAACATCATTTTTATTACAAACAGTTCGCAACTCGCGTGAATCAAAAGGATCTTGCAACAGGTGATCGGATAACAGGTTATATCTTTTAGGACGAACAATTGGTGGAACATCCTGATCCCCTAGTAGGGAGCCGGCCCAAACTTCTCGCGATCCGTCATCTGCCTTATGGGCGCGCTCCTCACTGCGCACACCGTGCCGCAGCACGGGTGGCGGGCCCAATCGCCCTCCAAAGGCCTCTTCTGAAACTCCGGGCCAGGACGAATCACCCGCCGCCCGCCTCCAGGGTAATTCAGGGGGAAAACAGATACCTTCCATTCTAGAGGCTCAATACCTCTGCCTCTAGCCCCTGTAGTTAATGGATCTGGGAGCAGTCCGCCTCCTGTCATTAGGTTGGGGAATCCCGGTGTCGCATCAGTCCCTTGACTCTGTCCGAGAATGGGTTCTGTTTGCGCCCCTCGGTGCCTAGGTCTGTCCGGGTTAAGAACAGTCCAGGTTCTAAAGTCGCGTGCGCTTTCTCCCTCTTTTATCTCCTCCCACATAATTAAATCTAACTCCTCCCCTCCTTCTTCCACAAGACACCCCTCCGCAGCTTTTTCAGTCACTATCTCAGTTTGATCCAACTCTATTAACACCCCTTCCACACATCCTCCTTCCTCTACATCTTCTTTCCCACCAGAGGACGGCACACTGCCTTCCGCTCCTTCACACTGCCTGAACAGAAAGAACCACAAAGATGCCTGATCTTCCATGGGAGGGAGTTCCAGAATTTGGGGGAGGTGACAGAGAAGGCCCTCTCCCATGTCCACACCAGACACAGCTATAAGGGTGGTGGAAACGAGTGAAAAGCCTCCCTTAATGATCTTAAAACTTGGTAGGCTCATAAAGGGAGGTGCAGACTTGCAGGCAGCCTGGACCCAAGCTGTTTAGGGTTTTATAGATTAAAACCAGCACTCTGAACTGTATCCAGAAACAGACCAGCAGCCAGTTGTTGTGCAATCCCTGTAACCAGTCCCATTTAACAATCTGGCTGCAGCCTTTTAGAGCCACTGAAGTTTTCAAACATTTTCCAAAGACAGCCTTCACAAAACCAATTGGGATGTAAGTACGACTTGCATCACCATGGCCAGAGCAGATACCTCCAGGAATGAGCATAGCTGGCACACTAGTTTTAACAGTGTGCCCCTGGATCTGTCCTAGGCTCAGAGACAGATCCAGGGGCACTCTGAAGCTGTGCATCTGTTTTCAGGGGAACTTTAACCCCTTCCAGCACAGTTGGATCTCTACTCACTGATCTGCCATTCAATTGACCATGAGCATCTTTGTCTTGTCTGGTTTAAGCTTCATTTTATTCACCCTCTTCCAGTCCGATCCTGGTTCTGGAAGTTGTAGCCCACCAAAAGTACTTCTGATAAGTTACATTCTATTACATATCCCATCTTTACTATCCAATATGATACCACTTCTTCCTGTCAAATATACATCCAAGTATTTCAATGTATTCACAAAGGCTTTCACAGCTGGGATCTAATGCTTGTTGTGGGTTTTTCGGACTCCTGCATGAAATTCTATTTCAAAATGGATTGTGGATTTCAATGGCTTCCCTGTGCAGTCTGACATAATGATTGCTGGTGTTGCCCAGTATTTCAGTATTTTGAAATAGAATTTCATGTCCAGCTTGTTTTAGGGCATGTTCAGCTACTGCAGCTTTTTCTGGTTGTTTTAGTCTGCAGTGTCTCTCATCTTCTTTGATTCTGGTGTGGATGCTTCGCTTTGTGGTTCCAATGTATACCTGGCCACAACTGCAAGGTGTCCGGTATACTCCTGCATGAAATTCTATTTCAAAATACTGAAATACTGGACAACACCAGCAATCATTATGTCAGACTGCACAGGGAAGCCGTTGAAATCCACAAGCACCAACAGAACTTCAACAAAAAAAGAGGAAAGTTTGAAACTCAACAAATCTTGGCTCCCAGCTCTGAAAAATCCAGCGTGCAAAAGGTCAATGCCCTCTCCCCAGCCACAAGGACCGGGGATCACTACACACAAAAGACCAGTTAATGACACCCATCAATCACAGTGACAGATAATCTCTTCTCCTTATCACAATACACCCACGATAAGACACACTAATCACCCATCTCCGGAATAGGACAAAACCCTATCTCAGAGCCATAAGTACTCCACTCCCAGGCCAACTACACCAGAGCACAGAGTGCTGTCCTCTGAAGATGTTGGCCGCAGAGACTGGTGAAACGTTAGGAAGAAAAACTTTCCGAACACAGCCAAAGAGCCCGAAAAACCCACAACAAGCATCCAAGTATTTCCTTGCACAGATTCTCAAGAAATATAGAGTTGTCGCCAGAGTGATGCCAGTGACTCACCTAGCAGTTGTGTTTATGTCACTACACTGATTACAAAAGAAAATTGTTCTTGCACGTGTGAAAGCTCAAGATTTTCATTTTATGTAAATGGCTAGTGAACAAAACAGATGCATTACCATCATGTTACCTTTGCTGAAGTTAGAATAGCTTAAATTTTTGATAGAAAGAGGAAAGTCTTTTTTTTAATGTTGTCCTCCTTATTACTAAACAAAGATAGCATTACATTGTTCCACACATGTCTACATTTAAAACAGCTTTTTGAAGATGTAAACAAATCAGCTCTTATAATCCAGGAAATGAAATCAATTAATAATGCTGAATATTAAAAAATTAACATAAACTATTGAGTAGTGAGAAGAAAAGCTTGAGGTTTCCATTACAGAATACTGTGAAAGCAAAAGAGAAGCCACTCAACACTCTTCAGAGAGTACAAACTGGCAAAAGTGAAGACAACCACTGTTTGGCATCAACATGTGCCTCAATTAGTAGATTAAATGGGAGCAACAGGCCTTCGATCAATGCTTTTTAAAAAGAGTTGTAGGTAACTCACGAAAATATTTCAACTTGTTTTGCTAAAACACACTCTGCTGCATATTTTTAGCTTACTAGAACCTTATTTTTAGTTACAGTCCAATCAACCTTATCAAAATCAAGCATGAAAATAGACTGGGGTGGGGGGGGGTCAACTGAAGCAAATACTCTGTTGAGCTGCTGTTTATTCACTGCCACTTACCAAACAGAACACTTAAGTTATTTGAGGCAGATTCTCCCAGTGACCCATTTTTCCCCTTGAACACCTGAATGCAGAAATCATTCAACTGATTAAACACTAATACTGCTGCAAATTATGACAGCTGCACTTAGCTTGTATGTTTTGGGGGAGGGTGGAATATGTGCAGTGATAAAATTTGCATCAGTCATTCTCTTGGGATCTATTACACAGAAATAAATTTGCTATTTCAATTTGTCTTTCTTGCTAAAAATAGTCCCAACTGATTCAGGCAAACAAGGAAGTGGCTTA